CCAAATTATCTACTCTACCCCATATTCTTCTATAAATATGTTATAATGAAAGAGCACGAAGTCTTTTGCTCAAGCCACTGATTTGGTGAGAGCAAGGACCCTAACTTAAGTTAGCTAATAAACTTTCCTCTTGCTTTTGCATTGTCATGTGTTGGCAAATTCCTTGTGCCGAACAACTCCTTCATAACCTGGGCACAACAATATGAAGTTCTTGACAACTTCAATCTTTTCTCTGTTTATTGTGATGCTGCCCATTGGCCCAGTTGTGAGGATTTTTGTTTTCTTTATACTGAGGTGTAACCCATACTGCAGACTGTAGTCTTCAATCTTCATCAGTAAGTGCTTCAAGTCACCCTCACTTTCAGCAAGCAAAGTTGTGTCATCTGTGTATTGCAGGATGTTAATGAGTCTTCCTCCAATCCTGATGCCACCTTCTTTATATATGTAGTCCAGTTTCCCAGATTATTTGCTCAGCATACAGATTGAGTAAGTATGGTGAAAGGATACAACCCTAACACATTCCCTCCTTGACTTTAAACCATGCAGTATCCCCTTGTTCTGCTCGAGTGACAGCCTCCTGGTCTATGAACAGGTTCCTCATGAGCACAATGAAATGTTCTGGAATTCCCATTCTTTTCAATGATATCTCGAATTTGTTATTATCCACACCCTCAAATGCTTTTGCATAGTCAATAACACATAAGTAAACATCTTTCCAGTATTCTTTGCTTTCAGTCAAAATCCATCTAACATCCGCAATGATATCCCTCGTTGCAGGTCCTCTTCTGAATCCAGCTTGTATTACTGTAAGTTCTCTGTCAATATACTGCTGCAACTTTTTTTGAATTATCTTCATAAGATTTTATTTGCGTGTTATCAATGTTATTGTTTGATAATTTTCACATACGCTGTAATTTTCACATTCTGTGGTATCTCCTTCCTTTCAAACGGGTACAAATATGTATCTCTTACAGTCAGTTGGCCAGGTAGCTGTCTTCCAAATTTCTTGGCATAGACCAATGAGCGCCTCCAGGGGCATCTGCTTGTTGAAACATCTCAGTGGGTATTTGCTCAATTTCTGGAGCCTTTTATTTTTCCAATTCTTCAGGGTTAGAGTGGCACAGGGATGAAATTCACGTCTCAGGTCTATAAAATAAAAGAGCTGGAGCCTCCTCTAGAAGTCGCAGGTGGCATTCGCAAAAAATATGAGTTTACACAAAGCAAATAAGAGAAATAAAGGCTTTAAGGCTTTTCACATTGAAAGTCAAAGACTTCACACAATTAGCGCCTAACTTGTGGCACAGGGCAAATTCTATAGGTTCCGGGCTGTGAGGGGCGGGGAATGGGGGGGCGGGAATGACGCGCTTTGTCACTGTGGAGACCAACACAGGGAGCGCCCGCCCCCCCCCGCGAGTTTCCTAGAGTGGAGGCCGGGGAATGGAGGCAGTGCTACTGCGGGGCTGAACAAGAGTGGCAACTCCTCTTGTTTTGGAGGTTCGCGTGGTCCCAGCTCATTGGTCATGGTAGAGCCGAGACCCAGGGAGGATGTGGAGTGGCCATTGCATTTGTAGTTCCCTGGACTGTTGGCTGGCGGGCTCCACCTTCCCACCGAGGCACCCACACACCGCCAGGCCCACAACTCCCACGAGGCACCGCGCTCCGGTGGGGGCGTAACCGGGAGCAGAGGACTCTGGGGGCGGGGCCGCCGGGCATGAACTGGGGGCGCTCCTCTTTCTGAGCCTAGCTTAAGCAGCGGTGCGTTGGGGAGAGCGTCTCCCGCGTCTGGACTAGTGTCCAGATCTCTGACACTGGAGTCACTCACTGTCCAGAAACCGTCCCTTTCGGTCGTCGCTCGGGCCGCCCGCCGTTACCCCGCCTCAAGGGGCCTGGCTGGTCGCGGCGGGGGAAGAGGTCAGCATGACCCGGGGGGTCCTCTGGGCAGGCGCTGGGCCGGGGGCGGCGGTGGCCTCTGTGCAGCTGCTAATCGCCCTGAGCTTACTTCCGGGCGTAGTCCAGGCCCAGGTAAGCACTAGTTAGTGATGGCGGGAGGGAGGTTGCGGGGACGGGCCCCTCACTGAACGCCCGCGCAAATACGAACGGGCCACCGCTATGCTGCGTCTAGGACCAGGGTTAGACCCTCGGGTAATTTTAGCGAGCGGAAAAGACAACGGTAGAAAGACCTGACAGTCAAACGTCTGCGAACCGCTTGTGGTGTACGAGATTGGCCACACTCTGGGGGTAATGGCGATAAAAAGAGGAAGATGGTGACGGTCCCTTGAAGTGCTTTCATGTTTATTTTTTCCGAATTTTTAAAAGCGGGATTGAAAACATTGTCTTTTGGGAAGAGAGCACAAATAGAAATGGTGATGCCTTTGTCTTCAATAGTTGAGGCAAGGAGGAGAGGATGAGAGTAGGTCATAGACCTCTGAGGCTCTGCAAAAGCGGAGTAGATTAAGAGTGGGGATAAGACTTAACTTCCTGAAACGCTGAACTAGAAATTTTCTCGTCTTTTACCCTTGCTCAAGCACCTTCCCTTGCTCAAGCTTGCTTTATTTTTGCCCAGCTTGTACTATGTCTGCTACGTGGCATCACCAAGAGAGTAGAAAACTGGGGTTCTGTTCCTGGTCTTGTGGCTCCTGTGGTTCATGGATGGAGGCTCTGGCTCTATGAATTGTGACGTGATAGCTGGAGAGTAAATTTGAATAATGGTGTTGTCTTTGTGAACACTACACCAGTGCCCTCAGTATGCTGGAAATCTGAGGGTTAGCTGACCAGAACATTTGCCTTTCAGGCCCACTGCTTAAGAGAGTTTGTTTTTTATTCAGTAAGTTTTGAATAGACTGCCAGGTGCTGCTGTGTGTTGTCTGCACCTGCTACAAAGTAACAAAACTGCAAAAGGGGGGAAAAAAAGAGTCTCAGGGGCCAGATAATAGGGGAGATGTCATTTGAAGCAATTAATGCTTATTATATGAAAAATTGAAGGTAACTATGAGTGTAACCATATAAACATGTTTTTCTGACTTTACTCAGACAATTTTTTCATGGTTTTATGATGTTTTGCACTAAATCCCAGGCTACCTGAATATTCAGTTTGTGTCCATGTTTGAATACTTTTTAAATGATTGATTTGATAGAAAATAAAAGGGACAATTTGGAAATGAATAGTAGTGATAGTCATACAACATAATGTTATCAGTGTCACTGAATAATGCATGTGAAAAATGTTGAATTGCATGTTTTCTTATATATATTTCACAACAGCAAAACAATACAAAATAAAAGGGACAGACATTGGTTTTGGTATTGGGGAGCATATTAAAAATGCAGCATTTTAGCCCTACTTCCACACATTTTGATTCAGTGGATCTGGATTGTGATCTAGGAATTAGAATTTTAAATAAGCCTTGAAAGTAACTGGAATGTAGTTACCCTTTGTTCTGCCTTTTGGACCCCATTTGGAGAAACACTGAAATAGATACTGGAAATCTGGGCATAACTATTAGACTTATGAAATGTAACTTTTTCAAATTTTCTGGTTAAAATTGAGTGTTTTTGAAAGTTATATTTAGGTATTGTTTTTTCTCTTTTTCAATTGTTTAATACTTTGTGTACTTTGTCACTGGTCTAGAAGTTTCATTTTAGGTTTGCTCGCCTACCACTAATAATGCATTTATAACTAAATAATGCTTTATAAGTGCATGTATACTTTTAATTTTGTTATATCCAAATCAATAAGTGTATATAGTTCAACAGTTAAAGGTTTGTGCTTATCCAAAGTAGCATGGTGCCAAATAATCCTCAAAAGTGAATCCATTCCCCCCTTTATACATATACACATTGGTACTTTCTCCTAAAGTGTTTAATTATATTTTGGATCATGTTACATTGCTGTAACATGCTTAAATATACCTTACCTCATTTTATATGATGCATCTCTCAGAAGTGAGGCCATTGAGGTAAATGAAGTTTAAACAGCTTAAATGACTAATACCAAGACAGCAGGATTAAACTGGAGGTCCAGTGCAGGCCCCTTTCTAATCTATACAGTATGGTTCAGAACACTTGCTTCTCTGTAGTATGAGAAATAAAGCAGAAGACCCAGAAATAAAAAAAACGGAATTAAGCAAATTCTTTCACTTCACTTCCACATACTAAATTGTTAGAAAACAGTAAAATCTAAAGGGTAAAATTAAATATTTTGAAAAATTCCTCAGTTAACAAGAAATCAAGGAGCTCTGGTGATGCAGTGGTTAAGAGCTTAGCTACTAATCAATAAGTCTGTGGTTTCAACCCATCAGCGATTTTGTGGGAGAAAAGAAGGGATAATCTTCTTCTGTAAAGATTATTGCCTAGGAAATGCTATAGAGCACTTCTGTTGTGTCCTGTAAGGTCACTATGAGTCAGAATCAACTTGACAGGACAATAACGACAAGAAATCAGCCATTAAAGACAACATATAGTTTAAGGAGAAAATTATTTTTGAGCACATAAAATGATATAATTTTGTCTTATAACTCATTTTAAAAATATATATATTATTTTGTATTTGCTGAAAGTTTACACAGCAAATTAGGTTCCCATTTAACAATTTTTATTCATATCATTTAGTGACATTACTTACATTAAAAAAAAAAATTTAATTGTGCTTTGGGTGCAAATATACAGAGCAAAATTGTTTTAGATTCAACAGTTCATGTACATTTGATTTCATGCCCCGATTACCATCCTCAACCTGAACAAACTCTCCTCACCTCCTGTCCCTGTAACTACCCCCTCCCTGTGCCCTACTTAACTATGCACTCCTGTCTGTCCAGCTTTCCCTCTATGTGAATGCTGCCCCTCTGATGCCCCATGTCTAATTGCTCCAAGGGGTGTATCCCCTAGAATAGGTGAGAGGAGACCAATAGTTGCCTCTTAGATGGCCATTCGAAGACTTTTAAGACCCCAGTCGCTACTCACCAAAGCAGGTTGTGGAACAAGATTTTATGTACTATGTTGTGCCAGTTGAGCTGGTGTCCCCTGAGAATATGGTCCTGAGTCTGCAGGCCTGGTGATTCTCTATCTCAAGGTGTTTGTTTGTCTCTGAGAAGTTACTCCATCTCTGTCTTCTGTTGCTTCTGTAATGTGTGTGACTAATTTTGGCACTGCTTACATTTTTCACAATGTGTCAGCATTCTCATGCTTTCTGTTGTGGTTGTTTCATTTCAATTAATCTAGTTTCCTTTCATCCCATTACCATCTCATTTTTGCTTTACAGTAAACATTGATTGTTTGGTTTCATATCGATAACTTATGTATTTATTTCAACTTTTTATTGTAATTTGAGTGAAAGTTTACAGAGCAAATTGTTTTTCCATTCAACAATTCATACACATTTTGTTTTGTGACATTAATGACAATCCTCAAAATGTAACATCTCCCTTCCTACTTCTTCCCTATGTTTACCATTTCTACTTGTCCTTTTCCCCTGTTCCTTTCTGTCTTCTCAGCTTTATCTCTGGGCAAATGCTGCCCTTATGATCTCGTATGGTTGAGTGTTCTAAAAAGTGCATACCTCTCTGATGTTTGTTCACCTTATAGGCCTATCTATCTCTTGTTTGGCTGAATGTAAAATATTGGGGGTGAGTTCATTTCCAGGCTTGAAGAGTGATTCCACCAGTCGGGGATTCTACCAGTCTCCATCAGACTTGTAAGCCTGGCCTTTTTTGTTTGTTTGTTTGGGTCACTTCCCCCCCCCCCACTCTATCCAGGACCTCCTATTGTGATCCTTTTCTGAGCAGTCAGCTGCAGTAAGGAGGCAACATTTAGTTCTTCTGGTTTCAGGGTCATGGGAGTTTGGGTTCACAGGTTCATGTGATCCATTAGCCTTTGAACCAATCATTTCCTTGTGTCTTTGCTTTTCTTCACTGTACTTATACCCTGGAAGGAGAGAGACTATAGTTGCACCTTAGATGGCTGATGACAAGCTTTTAAGATCCCATTTACTACCCATCAAAGAAGAATAAACAGCTAGCAGTCAAAATCACAAACATATTTGGAAACAAGGCACCATAAAGCACAGATAACAGAACAGGACTTACAATGAGCTTAGATTCTTAAATTACCAGATAGATAATTTAAAAAAATCACTATTTAAAGTTGTTTATTCTCTTTCATACTTGGTTTATTGTTGTTGTTACTTGCCGTTGAGTTGGACCTGACTCGTAGCAGCCCCTCCTTGGGTTTCTGAAGCATTATCACTATGAATGTAGATTGCCCAACCTTCCTTCCGAGGAGTGGCTGGTGGGTTTGAACCGCCAGCCTTCTGGTTAGCAGTCAAGTGCCTTAGGCACTGCACTATCAGAGCTCTTAATACTTGGTTTAGTTCATTTAAATTTTAAAAAAGAGAAACTTGAAAGTATGAAAAAAGAACAAGAGACTTTAAAGATCCCAAGCAGATTTGAAAATAATGAAATAGAAGTTCTAGTAATGAGACTATGATAAAAGTAACTAAAAGCTTGGTGGATGGATTGCATAGCTGATTATACATACCCAGCTGAAGAAATGATTATTAAATAAAACAATAATTTCATGTACTTTTCTTTCTACTTAATTGTCCAACATCTCCTTTTCTATCCTTACTCCCAGTTTCATACTTCACTGACAAAATTGAAGCAATTAGAAGAGAACTTCCACAAAGGAATCTACATCTGTCCACCTACTAGTCTTTGTACTCACATATGCTGACTTCCCATATTATCACTTCTATTATCTTCTATTATCACCCCTACTTGTCTATGAATTTGTCATACTGTGGTGGCTTGCATGTTGTTGTGAAGCTGGAGGCTATGCCAACAGTATTTCAAATACTAGCAGGGTCACCCATGGTGGACAGGTTTCAGTGGAGCTTCCAGACTAAAACAGACTGGGAAGAAGGAAGGGGCTATCAACTTCTAAAAAAAAAAAAACCCAGTGAAAACCATATGAATAGAAGTGAAACACTGTCTGATATTTTACTGGAAAACTTTATAAATAACTCTGAG